ATAGTAAGTGATTGTTGGTGCCTCATTTACCTTTCATAATTTATTTTTCCATTGGTCTTAATAAGTTGTAATTTAATATTATATTATTAAAATGTAAAGCTTCTTTATATATATATATATATATATATATATATATATATATATATATATATAATAAAAGGTAATTGCTAGTACTTAAAAATTTTATATTATAAAAATGTAAAACGATATCTGCATGCTCAATCACTGCTTATACAATTTATAAAAATTAATAAAAAAAATGTAAATATCTTTTTCTATTTTAGAAATAAAGTAATAGAAATTCCCTTAAAATATAGACTGGAATATAATTCGCATTTATTTTTAAAACAAACATTTTAAGCAAAAAAAAAATACTTTCAATCTTTATTTATCTCCAAATATAGTAACAGATATTACTAATAATTCATGTAATTTATACTGAGGATATATGATAATTCGTAAATGCATAATTACATTAAAAGGGAAGTAAGTCCTATTATATACGGAGTAGTATATAATATAATATTTAATACGAAATTTTAACCAAAAAAAGAAAAAAAAAAATTATAGCAGTTTTCAAATTTCAACTTTGCTAACCCTACTATAAATTAGGTACGCTTATGCTTCTAGCTTTAAGTATCATATCATTTCTGTCTCGATCTCCGGCGACGGCGACAGTAAACTACCGACCACCCTCGATCAGATTTTCGTTTCAGTCGACGTTGTGTTCAAGGAGGGATACGAGATCGATGGTAATAGAAATTGTTTTGAAACACAAAAGCACGATTTTCTTGAGAGATCGGCGGCGGGGTGTGATTGTTGATTCCTATGAGAGAAACACCGATTCGAGCGTTTCATTTCATTTGCCCTTGGATTCTGTTGTTGGGTTGTCCTATTTCAACTTCAGGCCTTTCAGGGCCCAAGTTTTTGATCGGATCCCGGGATTGGCTCCCTCCATAGCCAGCGAGCTTTCCCGACAAATGTTCCAGATGCGCGACGAGTTTCACTTGACCGTCTGGGCCTCAATGACGACAACGGTATACTGGTGGTCATGGCTCGTGTGGAGATTGACGAGGAGGAGGAGCCGATCCCGCAAAGGAGTTTGGATTTGGGTGAGATTAACGGGTTGAAGCAAGAAGGGTTCAAGATTAGTGGTGCAGAAAAGGAATCATCATCTTGTTCTATTTGTTGGGAAGAGTTTTCGGTGGGAGTGAATATTACGCCATTGCCATGTTCTCACAGCTTTCACCATAGCTGCATTGCTACCTGGCTTGAGAAACATGCAACCTGCCCTCTTTCCCGATTCCACATCACACAACCATAGCTCGGAATGGGAAGGTTTAATTTACAGCATGGGATACAAAAATGGGAATGAAGGTTTAATTTGGGGCTTTAATTTGGACAATTCAAAAGCTCTCAGGCAATTAAAAGGGGCTTTGGTTTTTACTTGTCAAAAACGATGCGAGAACTTCAAAGATTATAACTTCTGTACTGTGGTTTGTATACAGTCAATGATTCACAAATCAACAATGATTGGTTAATTATTAAAATTTAGAATTAGTAATGGGACAATGTTTGGTCAATTATGATAAAATTAATAGTTACTTTTACATGTAAAATCATAATGATTTGCAATATGCTTAATCTGGATATTCTAAATTTTTAAATATATTTCGTAATATTTCTATTGTATTTGATACTAATTATTGTTTTTTTAACTATTTGGTTTTCAAATTCTTTTATCATTTCGTCTTTTATATATTCTATTTATGTAGGAGATGTTCATGCATAGGTAAATAAATATTGAATTTGCTTATTTAAATCGGTAGTTTAAAGTATATAAATGCAAGATAATATATGAGTGATTGATTATATTGTCACTAAAATAAATGTTTGCAACTTTGTAATAACGATAGTCTAAATACTTAGTCTAAAAACGATAGTCTAAATAAATACTACTTTTGATTTAAATTTCTCTAATTCTTCTTAATTCTCTTTTGGGTAGCATTGTCATTGTCTTCATATTCAGTAGATGTCTTTTTTTGTTTTTTAATTGGTATTTTTAATTGGTAGTGTGTAATGTGCAATTGGGTTACTGGTGGTAGCACAGATGAATTCATTGTGCAATGAGAATGTGGTGTAGGAAGCTTTAGATTTTCTTGTTGTGTATATGATGGGATGTTAGTTATACTATTAACTCTTTAGCTTACCAGCACCTATTGATAAGGTAGTGGTAGTTTTTTTCCTATACGTTTCATGCGTTGACAGATTGTGTCGTAGGTTATTATGTGAAAGTATTGAACAAAATCTTAATATTTATTATATTTGTATAAAATACTTGGTAAATAAATATATATAACATATTTTGTATTATAAGTTTGATATTTAATTACAAGATAATGTAAAAAAAAAAAGACAATGGACAATGTAGTGAATATAATAAGTTAATAAATTTGAAGGTAATGAATCTTTGAATTGTAGAAAATAAAGATTATATAATTATTGAAATTATATCTTTTTTACAAAAAATTTATAATGAATGATTTTTTTTAAATAAAGATATTATAGACATCTAATTCTAAATTAATTAAATGCATATGTATTATTTTTTTGTTGTAGCGATGAGAATTCAAATTCTATTCAGTTATCGGTAGATAGGATTACAAGTGTGTATATCAAAGTCTACCTCTAAACTCTCCTATCTACTAGGCTATTACATTAGACTTAATCTAACACCACATATTAACTACCATAGTCTATAATAATAATAACAATAATTATTAATAACACTCACAGTAGCTACTAATTTATTTAATTTAATAAGAGTAATAAAGTGGCATACATACTTTTCATCAGCAATAATAAAATCATTGATTTTTTTAATTCACATTCGTTGTTGAAACAAATTGTTTTGAGAGTTTGTAAATGACAATTGTTACAATTCCTGTAAATAGAGGATGATAATAAATAATTCAAAATATATAGTTACAATAGATATTGTTATAATGATATAGTAAAAATTAACTTACAAATTTCTTTAGAAGTTTTTATGCATTGATAAAATTGTGATGTGTAAACTTGTTCAATTGGAGCAAGTGGGATTTCAACATTGTCAATTATTTGAAAAATGGTCCTACCGTTTTAGCGTCCAGGTGTAATTGTATTTTCCAGTCAACTTTATTAAAATCTTAGGTGAGTTATTTGTTTTGTAGAACGAAATTTTTCAAACATGAAAATCTGACATGCTCTACCAAAGGAGTGGCACGTCAAGATTGTGCAAATTAGAGGCAACAAGAACATTTCCTATACCACGTCACAACTGAATCTTTGTTCTAGGATCTTAAAGATCACCAATTTGATATATTAGGATTAGACAATAAAGAAATCGCAAATGACAAGTCTACAACAACACTAGTTGGCAATAAAATATCATTAACCTCAAGATCATCTGGGAGCTGAGGCATCAAGATCCAAAAATCAAGAAATAGAACAAGATCGAAATGGTCTTATTATTGCCCAAGAAATTACTTAGACACAACTAAGCTCATCTGGAGTGAAGAGGAGCGCAGCTCAAGGAGACATAGATCATCTTTAATTTCACTCAAAGGCTTACATCTCTATAAGAAATTCTCAAACAAAGCAACTTGAGAATTTCATTATCTTCTTGTATCACATGAGATTAAATTTTGAACCTTGTTGCTTTTATAGAGGGAGATTTAAAGCTTATAGGAAAGTGATTACACGCCTGAAGATATCAAATGATTCAGTTTTTGTTCCCTGTTGTATTCTATATTTTTGTTGTATCTCAAATGTATTACAGAATACAAACACTTTTTCCAACACTAAGCATACAAATTAAATATGTGGTGTGATGCTATGATCTAGTAAATTTCATAAGTAATTATAACACCAAGTTTATATATTTAAGGTAAAAGGAGTCTAGGCAAAGGATTTGATCTTCTAGATGCATTAGTCTTAAGGATAGGAGTGCTTGAGTTTAAGATGGGAATGCACACAAGAATCACGACCTAATGAGGTACGTACTCCGTAGGTACTCGGTACTGGAAAAAAGACTGAAATAGGACAAAAATGCTTCCCATTTCACAAAATATGACAGTTTTTTTTTTTGGACAAATTTGTGAAAACTTCGTTTGGGACATGCGTTTTAGGCATGTCCCAGTTCTTTTTTTATTTTTTTATCCGTTTCCAAAGACGCAAATAGGATTTGCGTCTTTGGTATTGTATACCTCAAACGCATTAGGTAAATGCGTTTGACGTATATTATTAGTATATGGTAAAACGAATGTACGAGATGCGTTTGGAGTATTATACGTCAAACGCATCTCGTACATGCGTTTTAGTCGCCGGTCAGTTGCCAGAGACTGAGAATTTCTTTGAGTGGCGGTGCAAGCGCTCCCGTCGAAGTTGGCACGCGGGGAACGATCAGATCACTCTTAAAGAAGGAAATCGAATATTTCAGAAAGCTGGAAATGGAGTTTTCTTGCGGCAGATCCCCATTGAAGCCTCAGAGCTCTGTGGGTGGTGGTTCTTCATCTTCATGGCCTGGTTTTGGGTTCTTGATGATGTTGAAATGGAAGAAGAAGAAGAGAAGGGTGAGTGGAGGAAGAGGATTACAGAGTGTTTGCTCTCTGGTGGATGTTTCTGACACCCATAGGATGAACAAAATCCGAGGATTCAGCTATGTAACTTAATGGGAACCCGCAGGTGCCCGGAGAATGAAACTTCTATTTACCTTGAAGAACCGTGTTCGAACATGCATGAAAAAATGGTTGCTTCAATATAATGGTGATTAATTTAATTTCTTTGGGTGTTGTTTATTGATATTGTTTTGTGGAACTAAAATAAAATCTGCATTGAATCATAATGAATTTCTCCAACTGCGATACATTATTTATATTCAGAGTGGTGTTTATGTTGTCATCTGGGTTGAAATATGTGAAGATTTTGTTGGTGTTTCTGTTCTTGAAAAGAATTAGGAGATGGGAATGTTTTGGTGTTGCAGGGTTTCTGAGATTAAGAAGATGAGGAAGCAGAATCCCTTGAAAAGCTCCAAGAGTAATGTGAATGAGGCAGGGACTTCCACCAAATATGATAATGAAGGGGGCCTTGCCAGAAGTATTTCCATGAAAACAGGTAAGGTATCATTAATTGGAAGCTAAGATAAAAACTTGTTTGATTCCTTGGATTTCCAATAAGATATATAGATTGTGAGTTTCTGTTGCCCCCATTATCGAATTATTGTAATTTTCTTGATTCGATGAAAAAAAAAAACACATTTTTGAATGGGGTGCAGGGATGAACAAGCAAAAGCAGCTAGTAGAAGACATGTTAACCACCCGAATCTCGTGAACCTGTTGGGATATTGTGCTGATGGGAATCAAAGGATTCTAGTATACGAGTTTATGCGCAATGGGTCATTGCAAGATCACCTTTTTGGTATGCATTCATATCAGATTTCTTATGTTTTAGTAGATGCATTCATACAGTAAGTCTTATCTGCTGCTTTCCAGATTTGCTTCCAGGCAAGAGGCCTATGGATTGGTATACCAGAATGCAAGTGGCCAAGGGTGCAGCTCAGGGGCTGGAATACCTGCATGACACAGCCAATCCTCCAATAATCTATCGCGATTTCAAAACATCAAACATATTGTTGGACGAGTTTTTCAACCCGAAGCTCTCTGATTTTGGGTTCGCAAAGCTAGGCCCAACCGGGGAGCAAGATCACGTGTCTACCAGGATAATGGGCACATATGGGTATTGCGCCCCCGAGTATGCTATGACAGGACAGCTCACAACCCGGTCTGATGTTTACAGCATCGGAGTTGTCTTTCTGGAGATCATTGCAGGGAGGAGAGTGATTGATAACACCATACCAACTGGGCAACAGAACCCGGTTTCTTGGGTTAGTTTTAGTCTATTCATCTGCAACTTAAATCCTTAAATCCTTAACCCAAAATTATGTTCTTTTTGCAGGCAAAACCAATTTTTACTGACAGGCAAAGGTTCACAACATTGGCTGACCCTAGGCTTGAAGGACACTACCCACCAAAGGGCATGTACCAAGCTCTTGCTCTTGCAGCTATGTGGATCCAAGATGAAGCTAATATTCGGCCTCTAATTGGCGACGTTGTCAGTGCCCTCGAGTACTTATCCGCCCCAAGCGAGGAGTGGAACAGCACAGCCGATGTAGACGAATCCAATTGCCTGTTCATTCCCCAAGGTGCTTCTGCAAGCACTTCCAGAACCAAATGATCAAGCAAGCAGGTTATGCAGGATGAAGAAGAATGGGTTGATCAAATGATCAGTTTTATTTAAGCTCAGTGGATACATTTCATCTTCCATAGCCCAAAACAAAGATCATAAGTGTTTTTACATTGTTTGATGTGAGTTGAAAACAATACAAGTTTTTAAGCATGTACTATGTTTCAGAAGGAAATCATCAGATTTGTTTTCTTATCTTTCTAAGCCATTTCATGGTTACTGTGGTTGAAGCCTTCAACCTGAGAATTCTTGATCTGATTTTGAGGTTATTACTATCATGAAATGATGAACATAAATAAACCTGATGAAGAGGGAAAAACACCAGATACCTTAAACAAGTCCCAGGAAGCTATATATATATATATATATATATATATATATATATATATATCTACTATACTAATAAGAGCCCAAGAGAGTTAGGCCTATAATGGGTAGAAAAAATGGGGGTGGAATTTTTCCTTGAGATTTCCTAATTTATCCTTAATGAATATGATTATTCGTTAACTTTTCCGTTAAATATTTCAATAAGAAAGTTCTTAGGTTCGAACCACATCTCAATCAAAGTTGGCATAATTAGTACTCTATTTTACTCTTATTAAATTATATAATAATTTAGTAGTTACAACAAAAAATAATACATATGCATTTCTTTAATTTAGAATTATGTGTCTACAATGCCTTTATTAAAAAAAAATTATTCATTATCAATAAATTAAATAAGAGAAATAATTTCATCAGTTATATTGTCTTTATTTTTCTCCAATATAAAAATTCTTTACATTCAAAATTCAAATTCATCAATTGATTATATTCGCTACATTGTCCTACAATGTCTTTATTAAAAAAAATTATTCATTATCAATAAATTAATTAAGAGAAATAATTTCATTAGTTATATTGTCTTTATTTTTCTCCAATATAAAAATTCTTTACATTCAAATTCATCAATTGATTATATTCATTGCATTGTCTATTATCTTTTTTTGTGCACTATTTTTTAATTAAATATCAAAGTTATAATACAAAATAATGCTATATATTTATTTACCAAGTATTTTATTAAAATCATTAAAAAATTAAAAAAAAATTAAATTAATAAAACCTTGAGGGATTTGTTGACAAAGAGAGTATTCAAATCACACAACAAACGGAAGTGAGAAACAATCTCGCAATGTCCTTGTTTGACAATCAGCAGTTAGCGATTTGCGTTAGCGGATTTGGCCAGTGAATTATATAAACGGTTGGTAAAATGATATTTTAAAAAATTAGTTGTTTAAATTAACATTTAAAATGACCTAAGGGTATACATATTACGTATAATAATAATAATAATAATAATAATAATAATAATAATAATAATAATAATAATAATAATAATTGTTTTAATAATAATAATTTTTTTTAAATATAGATGTGTTTTGGAAAATTCTTTTCAAAAACGTTATCCAAATATTGTAAATTGCAATGTTTGTATTTTTAGTGGTTTGGAACAAATTGTTGCTTCAAACTGTTGAACAACCAAAACACTTTGTTTAGCATTTTGATCTTTGGGTTACATCATATTTACCAATCAATTTTAAATTTTTAGTACATCTAAATTCCTTCAATTAGGAATTTCTTTATCCATAATAATTTATTCAACAATAATGGTTGAACTAAATGAACACGGAGCAAAACACCTAAAGGACTGGTACCGTTGATTCATTCATTGATCTTGTATATATGTGCATTCATTAAATATATTAGAACCCTTTGCAACAAAAATACAATTATCTATGCATGAACAATTCTAATATAATCTTGCCTTGATATACTTTAAAATACTTATTTAAAAAAAATATTGGGCATTGTCTCAATCGCGCGTAAAAAAACTAGTATATATATATATATATATATATATATATATATATATATATATATATATATATATATATATATATATATATGTAATTCCAGAAATTCCAGGTGAATTTCAGGATATTGTGTGTGATCGATAATGTTTAATTTCCGGTTTATAAAAAACCATCAAATGATGGGCAATGAATCAAACACATGAAATATGTGAAAAAGAACAAGAAAGCTGAGAGTAAAGTGCTTAGAACTTATAAGAAACCTGACATGAAAACTATGAAAGAACTGTTTGTTCCTGGAATCTCTTTGAATCAGCTTTAAGATTTACATAGCTGAATCCTCGGATTTTGTTCATCCTATGGGTGTCAGAAACATCCACCAGAGAGCAAACACTCTGTAATCCTCTTCCTCCACTCACCCTTCTCTTCTTCTTCTTCCATTTCAACATCATCAAGAACCCAAAACCAGGCCATGAAGATGAAGAACCACCACCCACAGAGCTCTGAGGCTTCAATGGGGATCCGCCGCAAGAAAACTCCATTTCCAACTTTCTAAAATATTCGATTTCCTTCTTTAAGAGTGATCCGATCGTTCCCCGCGTGCCAACTTCGACGGGAGCGCTTGCACCGCCAGTCAAAGAAATTCTCAGTCTCCGGCAACTGACCGGCGACTAAAACACATGTACGAGATGCGTTTGACGTATAATACTCCAAACGCATCTCGTACATGCGTTTTACCATATACTAATAATATACGTCAAACGCATTTACCTAATGCGTTTGAGGTATACAATACCAAAGACGCAAATGAGATTTGCGTCTTTGGAAACGGATAAAAAAATAAAAAAAGAACTGGGACATGCCTAAAACGCATGTCCCAAACGAAGTTTTTACAAATTTGTCCAAAAAAAAACCTGTCATATTTTGGGAAATGGGAAGCATTTTTATCCTATTTCAGTCTTTTTTCCCTCGGTACTCCGTATGTACTCGGTACACCGTACTCTTACGCATTGTTAATGATTATGGAATTAATTACTGTTAGTTGAATTGTCAATTTGCATATATACTATATATTATTATTATTATTATTTAATTATTTAATTTATTTGTTCAAACCAAATGATATAGTACAGTGATTGTGACTAAAAGCATTTTTAAACTACCAGCGACGTTGAACTTTCCATTTGTTCACATGAAATAATGAAGGATCTAATGAAACAAGCAAATGAGTAATTTACAATGCCGGCCATTCATGATGCATCCATTTAAAACAAAAAGGATCATTAAAATAAAAACAAATACATAGCTTATAGATAGTAAATATTTATATACTTTTGTCTGAAACGATAAGAATAGTAAATTTTAAGACAATTCAAGGTTCTCCAACACACTGGTCCTTAAAAAAAGTCCTGCAGTGTAATAGTTTTATTGAATTCAATTAACATATTAATAATTAATTGATTAGATCTTACTTTATAATTTGTGCAGTTGTGCGGTTAACACAAAACGGCGTACCTTAAGCATTAAAATGGTGTACCTTAAGCACACAAACTTAAAAAGGAAAACCACGCACCTAAAGCTTTAGATCGACGCACTTATTAGGCAAGATCATGGACGTTGATTTAGGCAAGATCAATGGCTCAGATTTAACCGCACAACCGCACGAGAAACACTCCACAGCACGGGAACTGAATTATATATATATATATATATATATATATATATATATATATATATATATGCACTTGTCCAAAGCTTCTTATATGTCAAACATAAAAACGATAATTTATATCATGAACCAGGGTCCATTATGCATCGTAGATTCTGGTTCAAAATGATATTCATATTATGTGTCTGCAATTAACAGATTATATATACCTGCAAATAAATTGAAGGCACATAATATGTTAACTGCAGACACATAACATATTATATGCCAGCAGTTAACATATTATGTGTGATGGGGTACAGACCCAATGGAGAAAGATTGGGCCCACAAAGGATCAGCCCCAACAAAGAAAGAAAGGAAGCAAGCGTAACGGGCCAGAGGGAAGCCCAGAGGAGGATATAGTCGAGTCCAAGAGGTCGGCGCGAGTGGGGGGTTGACACGAGCAGAGGTCGACTCAGCAAGATAGCCGTTGGCATTTAATAGCCCTTCAAAACTCAGTCAAACAGGCCACTAGGAGGCCCAGTAACGGCAGCCAAACGACCTCTAGGTTTAATAAGCCACATTATGGAACTTCAATGCATGCATTTAAATTAGCAAGGAAGACCCATTATAAAAGGGCCCTTCGAGAATGTAAAAGGCAGCTAGTAGGGATTGCTCAAGAGAGATAAAGGAACAAATACCAAGATTTATAGCCATTTTCCTTGAAGGGTTCATAGCTTTGTTTGAAAGGTGAATCCACCAACAATGGTTGTGTTGGATCCCCCTGGACTCAAAAACCCTAAAACCAACACTGACGCCGTTTGTGGAGACGTGACAAAAGGTCACGTACCTCTTTGTTTGAGCCCCTCCACGCCTATTGGAAGTTCATCCACCACCGGTTCCACCTGCCGGTCAACTGGAATAACGGGCACCATGTCCAGCATGTCCGGCGAAAGCAAAATCAAATCTGAGTAAGAGTCTCCCACCAAATGGCCCCCATGAGCTAGCCTCCGCTGCCTCAGCGTCTCAAGACGAGCTTGCTCCTTCAAACGCTAGGAATAACAACGGCCACCATTCTGATTGCTCATTGGAGAAACGTTATGAGGAGAAGGTGATAGAAGTGTGATCGAAAGCAAAAAACTCGGATCCCATTTATAGGGGGACGGACCGATTTCCAAGGCAGAAATCAAGGAGGCAAAATCAATTGGCCACCATTTCAAGAAGGCACACGAGGAAAAAAGGCTGACTGGCAGGAATATTTGTCAGTTAGAGGTTCAATCAATCCCATCCGGATAAGGAAAGATTCATGCCTTAGCCAGAAAAGCAAATCTCCCACAGATATGGAAAGATTCTAAATAAGGATAAATTGTCAGGTCTCGAGAATCGTGGAGGACCGATCGTAGGGTTGGTCGGCATGCTGTGCCCACTGAGGGCGCCGAGGATGCATTCGAAAAAGCAAAATAGTACGAAAGAAATAAAGCTACAAGAAAGCCAAAGAGAATCATATTTTTATTAGAATAAAAAAGATGGCCTCAATACATCAAACACTTAGGAAAGTTTTATTTAATGGCCCTAAGATACTTTCCCTAAGTCATCATCCACATAAGCAACAATCCTTCCGCTCGGCAGCCCACCTCGACCACTAGACCTCCACGACCGGCCCGACTCATT